GCTCCCACTAAATGGAATGATCAGTAAGTTTCTCCAGGAAGACATTTTTGTAGGGAAATTATAAGCCCTCGTCACCTAAGGAGCAATGTGAGGTATGGAAGTCAGTCTGATTCTAATCACTTCTTGACACCTTAGGTAATAGCATTTATAACATGTTAGCAGAGTCTTGTAGTATCTGCCCCCTCCCTGTTTTCATGCTGCCAACATGGCTGCTGCTGTTGCTGCTCTTGCATCCTGACTCAAAACAGCATTACATCATTGCGTCTGCTCAAATATTATGTTCTCAGCTTCCTGTTCAAAGGTACAATGTTCTTGTGTATAACTTGTTTGGGTTTTTATGTTGCTTCCTTACCGGTAAGACTTGTCTGTGGTGGATTGATGTGTGTGTGTGTGCCTTGGTAATTTGATACTTTAAAACACTACAAGTAACTTCTCCATGCTTTCAGTGAGTATTCTAATATTGAGTTTTGTTTTAAACTGACCTTAATGAGACATTCTCGTAGAATCCAGTATCTGGAGTTGGGAGGTCATTGCTGCTGCAGTGCTATATACAAATTTCAAAGCTGTTATTTGTTACAAAACATGTACGAAGATAATAATTTTTGTAAATATTTTTTAAAATTCTTTTCTGTAGTTTGTTTGTTGTTAACTACATAAATGTTTTTTCCATGAGTGTACTTTTGAGGTCAAAAATTGCTAAACATCAGCCAAATAATATCCCCATTTTGCATATTTTCTATCTTAAATGTTTGCTTCATGCTGAAATTTGTGATAGTAATTTTGACATATTAAATGTGAGGCAAATATTAGTAACCTGCATATTTTTTATTGATGTCCTTGCATCTTAGAATGGCTTCAATTTGATATCAAGTTGTTTTTGCATGTCATGGACCACTGTGTTCCTCCTCTGTAAACACATGGTATCTGTTTGATATTATTTAATATTTCATCTATGTTCATTTGTGAAAATTTGATGATTTATTTGGAAGGAAATTAAGTTAGTGGTCCAATGTTTTGAAAGACAGCATGAAAAATGATGACATTTTTTCACTCTCTTTTTAGTTTGAAGGGAAAATTCCTAGCTTAGGATTATTGCTGGCCAGATGTTTTACTCTTAAAACTATAGTTGTACAGCAACAGACAAACGTAGTGTGATCAGAGACTATATCATCAGTAGACAGGCATCCATGTAACATTGTACTGTAATATACCTATCTCTATTTATACATTATCCACTTCTACTTGCCAATTAATGTCCATCAAACCATGCACATTGCTCAAATTTTTCTGCCCTTTCTGTTCCAATTTAAAACATAGTACACATCAAGTAATCACTGCCTAGAATTGAACTCAAGTTGCAATGTAATTCTTAACTGACTTAGTGTTTTCATTCCGCACCCTTGCATTCCAACTGAGATTACTTCATCAGGGAATTTATCAAGCACTCGTACAAATTGATTCTTCATTTATGCTGTATACCAGTGTATTTAGGTTATCAGTCGTTCTAATTGCATCATAGATTTGAATTCTTGATTTAAAGAAACAATTGCTTGTTGAAATGTGCAATGACTTTAATTGAAATCTAAAACTCTGCTGATGTTGTTTGTGTGAAAATTCAAGAATGTTGGAATGTCTTGATAATTTATTGTCTATTTTAAGGTCAGTCGTCTTTATTTACAGAGATCCTGTCTCATTGCTTTAACTGTAACCTTTGCTTGAATGAGTATGTAGGATTGTAGAACTGTACTTTTTGTGGGCTTTTGTTGTAGTTTTAATATTATTAAAACTTCATCAATTAGTAAGTTTTTACACACAGCAGTGCTTTCAGTTTCTGAGTATTTTACTTACTGGTAGTACTGTAAAATCTGTATTAGAAACCGTGGCTTCTATTAAAATGGTACGATGCAACAGAAAGGATGTGGCTTCTATTAGAGCATTCTACTGAATTTCTGGTTCTTAGTTATTCAAAAAGAATGAGTGTGACTTCTGTTAGGGATGTGGCAAATTTTACGATATTTAAAACAATTATAATTAAAGTACATTATTGAAATTCTAGTTGAATTCAATTATGAATATTACCAATTATGTACATGGAAATTTTGAAAATTGACAATCATTTTTTTTTTTTGTGTAGTTATGTAACAAGCAATTTATGTTTTTTCCTAACCTGTTTTTCTTACCTTTAAAAAAAAACAGATACCAATGGTCCTGATCCCAGCAGCATCCAAGAAGCCTATGTGATAGCCGTAGAACAGCAGGCTAAGGAACGATTGGCCAAGCTGTCGGCGCTCGAAAAAGTTCAGCCTGTTGATGTGTCAAATATGCCCGGATTGGAACGACCGGGAGATATTAATGGAACCAATGTGAATGGAGTCTTGGATAAAAATCATATCTATGCAGTTTTAAAGGAGTCTTATGAGAACAACAATGTCAATGGACCTACCACGGAAGAAAACGGTGATGAGTCTGATGTGGAATCTGTGATACAAACATCAACAGCTGCCGACAACGATAATTCACGCTTAGATTCGGGTAAAATAGGAATAACTGCCATTCCGACAAGTGCAATTGGTGACAATCACTCGCATACTAGTAGTACGAGCAGTGCTAGACTAAATGGACTAGGTAGTTTGCGTACAGAATCAGATCCTTATATTAACATTGCTGGTGGGTACCATTCACCGCCAGGAACAAAATTAGTTACTGAACCGCCGGCTCAGAAAAGTGAAGTAAAAGAGGACAAAGCTCCCCCTACTGACTTTGATAAATTAGACAATACCAGCAATCGAATGAACATGAGTTCGGAGGAGAATATCGAAATGGAGGAGTTTGTGCCGCGAGAACTCCCGGTGGATTGTCCACCAAGTTTTGTTAAGGCGAGTGGAATGAAAAATCCGCCGCCGTTCTATGCTCAAAATGAAAACTCGGATGATATTCACTCTCAGGCTACTTTGCCAATGAATCAGCAAGCAAGGAGAAGTAAACAAAAGATGAAAACAGAAGAAATGGTACAGCCGCAAACACACCTTAATGCCGGGGTAACGGTGGTGCAGGCAAACTCAATAAGGAGTGAGGATAAGTGGAAGCAGCCACAACAGATACCTGTTAGTTCACATGGTGAGCAACCTGTCAAGACAGTAGGTAAGAAAGAAAAATTCGTTGACTATATAATTTTTTTGTCTTCTATTTACATTTGGCATTACAAGTAAGGGTAAAAACATTTCACTGCACATCACGCATTCAAACTTTGTATTTACATGTGCTGTGTTTGTTTTAATGGGACCCTATATCAAACAGGATGGAGAATTCTGACTGTGATGCTTTTAATTGACCTGCTATATGCAAGCATTGTATCGGGTATTGCATGGTGGCAGAATTATGCCTCTAATTCCCTGTAGGTTAGCATACCAACAAAAATCTGTTTGTGGAATTTGTCCTGATCTACACTGTGTTGGGTCATGTAATGATCTACTTGTAAAAACATTGTGTAATTTTCAACCAACTGTACTTAAGTTTGACTAGGTTGTGTAGTATGTGATTTAAAAGTATGTAGACCAATACATGGGACAACAACTGCAAAGATGCCGTAGTGAGAACACTGTTGATGTTTAATTAAAATGACTGATGTTTCACTTTTAGGTTCCATGTCTATATAAACTCATTTCTGTGGAATGAAGTACATCAGTTGGTTGGTTACCTTGGTGATACTTTGTGTGTGTGTGTGTGTGTGGGGGGGGGGGGGGGTTCATCAATTATAATGACATCATTACTATTATCTTGCTAGCTTCACTTCACAGTTCATGTGAGGTCATTATAACTCCATGTTGTTTCTTTAATAACGCCGATATTCATTCTGGTATTATTCATTATAGCATTTA